AATTCCAGGTAAAAAACAAGAGGAATCAGAAAGAAATAGGAATCAGACTGTAAAACAAGTAGTGCAAGGAGCACAGGTGAATATTAACCTTGCTGTRTATTACAACTCTTCAGTCATTCTCCTTGACCTAATTAACCTTCAAAGGTTCTCTTATTTTCCTACCTCCCTTTTCAAATACTAACAGACCTAACTATATTCTAATTCAATCTGTGAGTTAGCCGTGCCCTGACTTAGATCAGCCCAGAGGTTGTTTCAGGGTTCAATCTGTGAGTTAGTCATGCCCTGACTTAGATCAGCCCAGAGGTTGTTTCAGGGTTCAATCTGTGAGATAGCCATGCCATGACTTAGATCAGCCCAGAGGTTGTTTCAGGCTTCAATCTGTGAATTAGCTGTGCCCTGATTTAAATCAACCCAGAGGTTGTTTCAGGCTTCAATCTGTGATTTAGCTGTGCCCTGACTTAGATCAGCTCAGAGGTTGTTTCTGGGTTTGGATACGACTTGAGGGTTTTTATACATAACTTTGGTTTAGTTTAACTAACATTTGATCTTGATGTTCATCAAAGGGTTCAACCAGATCGTCTTCAGGTGGACAAAGTTTGTCTCAAACTAGCAGCCAGGTTGAGCAGAACACTTCAAGAGAATCTGACACAACAGCAAACAAAGCGTCAAGAACATCAACAAACAACACTACATTATCTACAAGGGATACTACTCGCCCATCAAGAGAACCTGGAATCAAACTAAGTACAAGCAAACATACGATAGGAACTAATACATCCAGCATTACACCMAGCATTACACCATTATCAAACACAACAACACATAAAACAATAGGTACAAACACCAACAGGAGCACAGCACCTAGAACTATACTACCAAGCAACCAAGGAATACACATGCCGACAGACACTAARAGAATGGCGATACTGAGAAATATACTACCAAGCAACCAAGGGATGACGAACATGACTGGTAAAGCAACTATGAGCTTGACAAGTATGTACATCTTGTTATAGCTGATATTATTTTACTCTTGTGTGCTAAGTTTTGAATTCTCAGTTTCTCATGTTCACATGTTTCAGTGAAGGTGTGGAATTTCAAAGTGCATTGAAGAAATTTTGCATTCTTTACTTTACTTATCAAATTGAGCTGATCCTTGCAGTATATCAAGCAACTTATGCAGCTGCTTATTGAAAAACTCAGAAAAAATTCTGAGTCTTCATTCTTTACTTCATTGTTGGTCATTATTTGTAAATTTTTTAAATGATTATGTTGTTGGGAATCAAGGATGGTGTAACAGAAGAACCCTTACCTCTCAACTCTGGGGTCTCTAATACAATAATTGCTGGACTCAGCTTTACAAGTGAAGAAAGGTTGTTGGGTCTCTCCCTTCAATCAAGGATTTTCTCTTATTTATATCTGGTGATACATGAATTTTCAATTTGAACTGTGAGCTTATAAGCTGTGCCTGGATCAGCTTCATAGGTTGTTTAAGAGCATCATTGACAACATGTGAATGCTGAGTGATAAAAAACAACAACATGATATGGAACACCTTTCTTTGTTTCAGGAGCCAACAACAGTTGTTCTGTTCCAGACAGTACTGTTAGTATTGGCTGGTCAAACTCTCCAATRATAAACCATACCCTTGATGACAGCACGGCATCCATCATACAAGCAAGTACCATGAGAAAGAGAACCAYGGCAGGACTGAGTATGTCTTGGTGCCGTACACTAATAATCTGATTATACTGTTACTGGGATGTGGTTGATTGTTCYACTTTATCTTTCAGTTACCAAGAACAACTTCAATCATGTTGGTGCAAATGTGGTGACGTTTGGTGCTGATAGTACTGGCGTCATGACAAGTAAAATGGTTAATAATGGAGCTGTGTCAGTCATGTCTCCTGTCATGAATAAACTGGTTAGCGTCTGACTGTCTATCTGTCTGTTTATCTGTCTGTCCGTCTGTCTGTTTGTCCTGTCTATCTGACTGTCTATCTGTCTGTTTATCTGTCTGTCTGTCTGTTTGTCTTAATTTAAAATTTAAAAAATTTAAATTTAATTAAAAAACTAGATGCATATCTGCGAGAGCTCGGGCTTCATAGCATTTCTTTGAAAGCCCGAGTAATTACCATTACTATTTTCCATTGCTTGTCACTCGTATTTTTCATT